TTGATACAAAAGTATAACTTGTGTGTTGAAGAGCCGGTGATTTCTGGCAGCTCCTACAATGATGAACGGTCGAGTCTCAACCCTTGTTTATCAATCGCTGTATCTAGCTTTTTTAGTTTTTTTTTCGTCTCCACCACAATAAGTGCTATATTATCACTATAGTTGACTGGTGGAAAATTTGGAGGAAGGATGCTTTTTCTGTAGTAATATTTGCTTCTCGTTGTGTATATTGCGACCGCTGGTAACTACAGGTTATATGAAATTCACAGTATATGTCTGGTATTTCAAGAAAAAAGAAACTAATGAAAGTCACTCCACTCCACTAAGTACCATTATAATACTGGTTAGTTGCTACTACAACACTGTATTCTGCTATTCACTGGTATCACTAGATTATATGCGAGTACACTAGCAGGCCAGAAAGATTATTAAAACAGCTGACCACTGTGGTAAGATTCTGGCGACTTCTGGCACCTGCCTCTATAGGCTTATCACTTCATTTACAAATTCACCTGTTTTCAAATGACACTTTAGCCTTTATCATCTATATACTAGGGAGCCACTGTAGTATACACTATACACTATGTATACACAATGTTATCAGGGAGACTTTCTTTCCTCTGACAAAGAAAAGTTCTATTATTATTATTTTGCACATGGAACACAGGCCTATAATTCCCCTCTGGCAGTAAACTCTGCTAGGTAGAGCATACTAATTCTCCTTTTTTGACGCAGTATATAATGTTTTCCGCCCAAGATTGGTTCCAGGCGCTAGAGGGATGTATCGTATAGGATTGATGGCACAAATTAAAGTTCTAGCACATAAGAGCGACCGTGAAAACACGAGAAAACCCGGAGCACAACGAGGCACGCGGTGTCTTAACAGTGTCTTAATCTAACAAACTACTTTCATTACGTGCTATATCATAACTCGTATATTTACTTATCCTCTTTTTCATAAAATATGTATTACTTATTACCAAACCTCTTTCTATGTATGGTTCAATTAAAGGCTTCTCATTTTCATTTACCCCTGGCACCCCAAATTTACCTTCTACTCCCTCCACAACATTTTTACCCACTTCAACATTGAAATCCCCAACCACAAGTACTCTCGCACTTGGTTCAAAACTCCCCACACATTCACTCAACATTTCCCAAATCTCTCTCTCTCCTCTACACTTCTCTCTTCTCCAGGTGCATAAATGCTTACTATAACCCACTTTTCACATCCAATCTTTATTTTACTCCACATAATGCTTGAATTAATACATTTATAGTCCCTCTTTTCCTGCCATAGCTTATCCTTCAACATTATTGCTACTCCTTTTTTAGCTCTTACTCTGTTTGAAACCCCTGAACTAATCCCATTTATTCCTCTCCTCTGAAACTCTCCCGCCCCCTTCAGCTTTGTTTCACTTAGAGCCTGGACATCCAGCTTCTTCTCATTCATAACATCCACAATCATCTCTTTCTTATCATTTGCACAACATCCATGCACATTCAGACATCCCACTTTGACAATTTTCTTCTTCTTATTCTTTTTAGTAATCATTACAAGAAAAGGGGTTGCTAGCCCATTGTTCCCGGCATATAATAAGAACAAGAACTATTAACCCTTTGAGGGTCGCCATGCCCTCTCAGAGACTTGTTCTCAGGGTCGCCAAAATTAAAAAAAAAAAAAAAGTTATTTTTTCTCATGAAAAGATAGAGAATCTTTTCCCGATCATAATGACACCAAAAGTATGAAATTTGATGGAAAACTTACGGAAGTATGCTCTCACGAAGTTAGCGGTCTTGATGATGTTTACGCATAGGCGATTTTGCCCACTTTGAGCCCTATTTTCGGCCAATTCCAGTGTACTACTCGACAAAAATCATAGCCATTTCGCTAGAACTCCGTTTCTTCTTTTGAATGAGTACAAGAAACCACCCATTTACCAATTTCAACTATCCAATAAAGTGGTCAGAATTTAGCAATTTTGCCAATTTCACACAAATTTCAAAAGATGCCAATTTCCAAATAGGGTTCAGAATAAACAAGAAAGACATTCCTGGAACTAAAATGTCATTTCCTCTGTTTATTAGTCACATCCCCATGCTCCTTTTACATATCTTTTGTTTTCCACCTTGAATTTTTATTCTCACAAAAAATAGAAGATTTACTGTTATGCAGACCACTGTATTAGTGTAGAAATGGTATAAATAATACCAGCGCCCTTGTGAAATAATATTAGATTCACCAGTTGATGTGTATTGGATGCATGGCATGATTTGTTTTCTTTTGAACTTAGGCAAAAATCGAACATTTCTGCTACTTAGAGCTCAATTTCAAGGTACTTTTTATTGTGAAACCAATCAAAATCATCTCAATTTCTGTAATATGTCTTCCATTCTATAAAATGCGACCAGGAAAGCAAGAATACAACCATAAATATCAATCGAAAATACAGTGCAAAGTCACTGTTTTAAACAAAAACATGGTCAAAGTTTTTTTTTCTTGTTACGCACTTTGTGCTGCAGGATTTTTTTTTATACTGCACACACTGACCACATAGACCCATTCTTTCATATGTAGGCCTACCAGCTTTCTCTCACTAGATTTGAGGGCGCTAGAATTTATGCGTACTAGTACGTCAAAAACCCTGGTGCGTAAGCCGTACTAGTATGGCCAAAACCCCGGAAGGGTTAAGATAAAATCAAAGAAAACTCAGACGAGTGTGTATAAATACACGTGTACATGTATGTGTAGTGTGACCTAAGTGTCAATAGAAGTAGCAAGACATACCTTTAATCTTGCATATTTATGAGACAGACAAAAGACACCAGCAATCCTACCATCATGTAAAACAATTAATTACAGGCTTTCATTTTACACTCACTTGGCAGAACTGTAGTACCTCCCTGGGTGGTTGCTGTCTACCTTCAACTTCAACTTCAACTTCTTCTTCAACTTCTTCTTCTTCTTCAACTTCTTCTTCTTCTTCAACTTCTTCTTCTTCTTCTTCAACTTCTTCTTCAACTTCTTCTTCTTCTTCTTCCCTCCTCCTCCCTCCTCCTCCCTCCTCCTCCCTCCTCCTCCCTCCTCCTCCCTCCTCCTTCCTCCTCCTCCCTCCTCCTTCCTCCTCCTTCCTCCTCCTTCCTCCTCCTCCTCCTCCTCCTCCTCCTCATGATGATGATGATGCTTCTTCTTCTTCTTCTTGCTAATATTAATAATGCTGCTAATCATTATACTAATAATATTAATAATAATGAGAAACTTCAAAAGGCTACTAGTAGTTGGTGCCACCATCAGCAAAACATTGGTAACCACTGTTCACCTGTCTAACCTTAAGTAGTTTATAAGTATTAGGTCAAGTCTGCCTGAAATGCCTCGGCATGATAGTGGCTTTCTTTGCTCCGATGATATTATGATATGTAAACACACATTGTAACCTTGGCAAAGATATAAATATTTTATTTATTTAAGGAACCTCCCTTGTGGGGGAAGTTCGCATCCTGAAATTTTGCTTGTATCCAGAAGTAAAAAATTGACCAAACGACGGTTTGTATCCTGAAATGTTTGCATGGTGGGGCGTTCGTAAGCCAAGGTTCCACTGTACTTCAAAGCTACTGTTAAAAAGCACCTCATGACAACAATATACTGTGTCAAAGAAATCCTGAAACCTGTTTTCATCCAATTATGTCCTAGATCTTCTTGATCCAGCTTTTCTTGTAACTCCCATAAATTACTCATTATATTTTGTATTAATTAATGTATCTAATATTTCTTATTTTATTTTTTATTGTTTTCATTTTGAATTAGCTGAACAAATTTTAATATATACATATACACACACAGCAGAGGCTAAGTGGTACTTGAGGTTCTGTTCATTCTGTGAACCTTTAGTTTATTGTATGTCCTGTGTAGTAATACTGAAATCTACATTAGTAGTTGCATATGTATTTGACTAGCATTTGCAACAACCTCCACAGAAATTATAGCAAATTGTTTTTCCAAAATTTCCAACAAATTGTTTGCAAAAATTACATAAAGGCTCCCTGAAATGCTCTGCATAACCAGGGGTTCTCTGTAAAAAATGTCAAAAGAAAAAAAATCTAGATAAGCATTATCACTCTTATAGGGAAAATATAATAAGAAAAATGGAAATAATTTATTGGCAAACTGAGTTTGAGAAAACTCACAAATAGGCACTCACAAATAGGCACTCACAAATAGGTGTTCACAAATAGGCACTCACAAACAGCTGTTCACAAATAGGCACTCACAAATAGATGCTCACAAATAGGTGCTTGCAAATAAGCACTTGCAGATAGGTACTTGCAAATAATCACTCATAGTCACAGATAGGTACTTTCAAATAAGCACTTGTAGTCACAAATAGGTGCTCACAAATAAGCACTCACAAATAAGTGCTCAAAAGTAGGCACTCACAAATAGGTGCTCACAGATAGGTACTCACAGATAGATACTCACAAATAGGCACTCACAAATAGGTGCTAACAAATAGGTTCTCACAAATAAGTGCTAACAAACAGGCACTCACAAATAAGTGCTAATAAATAGGCACTCATAAATAAGTGCTAACAAATAGACACTCACTAATAAGTGATAACAAATAGGCACTCACAAAAAGACACTCATCAGTAGGTAATCATACATACCAGTGGGGAAGTGGTCAGTCAGTTATCAGATGGCTGGCCTAGGATACGTTACTCAATTCCTGCACATCCGAATATGCAAATACACACACATTCCTTCTGAGGGTGTGCATCCAGGCTGGTGCATGAGTTGTGGAGATTGAACTGTGTGGAGATTGCTGAGATTTGATCTTGACCATGGAGAAAAGTGGAACAAGAAGGAATGTGCTCACCTATTACTAGAGTGTAAAGTTTATTTTTGTATTTACTAGTGAACCCATTTTATTAAATGTGATGATGTATGGCAAATTACAGTTAATTTGTGTTCATATTTTGTAAATTATAAGAAATTTTTACAGCTCAACACACAACCCTCCCAAACAAGTACAACAGCCTGGTCTCAACCTGTGATACTGGATGGAGTGGTGTCAGCAGTGACATCAACAGATGGAGTGACATCAGCAGATGGAGTGGCATCAGCAGATGCAGTGACATGTGGAGGGGGTGATCAAAGTCACCCAGGTGGGCTTCAGATGACACCCAGACAGATCCAGCAAGGTAGGGCTCAGTGGAGATTTTTTTTTTTTGTTAACACTCAGGTCATCTCCCACCAAGGTATGGTGATCTGAAAAAGGAGAAACACACTCACCATCACTGTCTTAACAGAGGTGCACCAACATTACAACTCAGATGCTCCTCCACGTTGCAGTATCTCCACCCCTCCATCAGAGTGCTGGCACTGTACTTCCCATCTCCAGACTTAAGTCTGGCTAACCAGTTTCCCTGACTCCTTTCATAGATATTTATTTATTTATTTATTTTATGTCTTTGCAAACAGTACATTGAGATTTTTATATTTACAATAGTGGGTTGCAATGCAAAGAGAGCCTCTGTTATGCCTAGGCATTATGGGCCAACTTAACATTATTGGCTTACAGACTACTTAACACTAAGGATTATATCATAGTTGTACAGTAGGACAGTAATTATTTCATAGTTGAACAGTAGATTATTAATTATAAGTGAATTAAATTTGTATAAGACAAAAGATATATTCATTTAGTCTAAAATGCTTTTTGTGAAAAACAATGGTTCAATTATATTCCTGTCAGCAATGGATAAAAGGTTCAAAGTGATGAAGTTTTGATGTGGGAGTACATAGGTGAGTATGTGTGTACTGAGTATTTAGCATTTAGTCTAGGGTGATTAAGTGGCTTTTGAGAAGTCTTAAACTGATTTTCAGACTGGGTTACTTTAATATCTTCTGGTAATGAATTCCATATTTTTGGGCCCTTTATGTGCATAGAGTTTTTACACAGTGTGATATGGACACGAGGTATATCAAAAAGAGATCTGTGTCTTGTGTTGTGGTCATGTGTCCTATTTAAGTTGTTGAGGAGAAGTGTGAGTGGAGGGTTTATATTTGCGTGTATTGTTCTGTGTATGTAGTAGACACATGAATAAGTATGGATGTTCTTAATGGTGAGCAGATTCAGACTTTTGAAAATTGGTGGAGTATGCTGGCGGGAGTGGGAATTCGTTATCATTCTTACTGCTTCCTTTTGATGGGTTATGAGGGGTTTTAGGTGATTGGATGTTGTTGATCCCCATGCACAAATTCCATATGTAAGATAAGGGTATATGAATGTATGGTACAGTGCCAGGAGAGCTGGTTGTGGAACGTAGTACCTTATCTCTGATAGTATGCCTACAGTCTTGGAGATTTTCTTGGTGATTTGATGTATGTGTGTCCGGAACTTAAGGCTACTGTCAAGGTGGATACCTAGGAATTTTTCCTCTGTGAGTCTTGTGACTGATGATCCATTTAACGTTATGTTAATCGGATCATTTGCAGCTTTGTTTCCAAACTGAATGACATAGGTTTTATCAGTATTCAGGGTAAGTTTATTAGTCATCATCCAGGCAGATATTTTCTGCAATTCGGCATTGACTGTGTTTGCTAGTATGACCGTGTTTGGGTGGGAAAAGGCATATGTAGTATCATCTGTAAATAATATGGATTTGAGTAGCTGTGATGTATTCAGTAGATCATTGATGTATTTGAGAAAGAGGAGTGGTCCAAGGACGCTTCCTTGTGGGACTCTACTGTGATTGGTTGGGTGGAAGAGTTTGCATCATTTGCATACACATATTGAGTTCTGTTACTAAGGTATGATTTTAGGCAGTTGAGGGAGTGGCCTCTGATACCATAGTGCGTTAATTTGGAGTACAGCAGTTCATGGTCGACTGTATCAAAAGCTTTACGTAAATCAGTGAAAATGCCCAGCGGGTCTTCTTTCTTTTCGAGTGCGGTATATATTAGTTCTAGCATGTGTATGATAGCATCATTCATGCTTTTATTATTCTTGTATCCAAATTGACAAGGGTTTAACCCCTTCAGGGTCCAAGGCCAAAATCTGAAGTGGTGCTCCAGTGTCCAAGAAATTTTAAAAAAAAAAAAAAAAAAAAAAAATTCTTACAGAATTAAAGAGTATATTTTGTGAAGGTAATAAGACAAAAAAAAAATTTTCTGATCAGTACTTACCGACATACAGTGGCAGGAAGTTGACCCAAAATGACCGGGTGGCAGCAACATTAGTGACTTCCACAAAATTCCATTTTTTTATTTTACGTTTTTTATACTTTTTTCTTTTCTTTTCTAGTTTTTTCTTTTTCTAATAACATTTTTGGCCTGTGGGACCAGTATAATGTATATTGTATAAGTTAACACTCATTGTATTCCACGCAATAACTGCACTAATTTGTTTATCATTATATTGCTTACAAAACTTGTTCACAAGTTTATTGTAAACAAAATGATGAAAATATTAGTGCGGTTATTGTGTCGAATACAACGGTACCATGTAGTACCATATGGTACAAGGTGCCATAGGTGCAATTGTACCATATGGTACAATGGCACCATATGGTACAATATGGCACAATGGCACATGATACATTTGGGACCATATGGTGTAAAAGGACCATATGGTACATTGTACCATACCAAACCCAAGATACCCCCTTCAGTACCTTTTATCTAGGCAAAATTGGTCAATGACAGGCACCTTTAAATGGAACCACTAAAAATGTACCAAATTCAAGGCCCATTTGGAAATAAAAACCTAATTATGGACCTTTGGGTTTAAAACCCTTTTGGAACCAGAGGAAAACATTTTACAATGGAAAACCAGAGGACTTGTACCGAATTCAAGAAAATATTTATTCCAAGGAACTTCAAACACAAATTTTCCAATGAAAAAAGTTTACAACAAAAACCCTAAATTTTTTTTAAAGCCCAACTTTCAATGTCCCGGGCCTAAGGGGGTTTCCCGATGGATCAAGCTTGACTGAAAACCTTAGTCAGTTCTTTTCGCCCCTTGGTCTTCGGTTGCTTTGCCAACCCTAAACATTTGGGACAGGCTTTTCCCCCGGGGCCAGGTACAAGGGCCCGTTGACCCCAAAAACCTTCAGGTAAATATGGGGGACCCTGGGACAACAAAAGCCAATTACAGGGGACCATATGGTACAAGGGACCATAGATACAAAGGGAAAATATGGAAATAGCAAATGCACAAAAAGGACCAAATACAGTGGGGCGTAAAAAACCCCCCAAAAAAAGAAACCAACTTCGTCCCCCATTAAAGACAAGGTAATTTAATTTGGGCCCAAGGACCAATAAAAATGGTAAATTTCCTTTTTTTTATGGGAAAAGGGTTAATTTAAATAAGCAACCCATTTTTTTTACCATGCTAAATGTTCCAAAATTTTTGTAATATGGGTTTTTGTACACCAAAAAACACTAATATTTTTTTTATTTTTTTGTTTACAATAGTTGTTTACAACAAAAATATGCAAAAATGTTGTATATAGTAATGTTCTATTATATATTTACAAGTGTACAGGAACCTGACGGGTTCCTTGAGGTGGATGACAAAGCACTTTGTCTCGGAAACTGTGGAGTCAGTAGCTAGCTTGCGTCGTCACTCACTCAGTCTTGGCTGGTGTCTCATGCCACCAACACCTATTGACCATATGGTACACGGTATCATATGTTACAGGGTACCAGATGGTACATTGTACTATATGGTATAGCATACCATGCAGTACAGGATAACATATGGTGCAGGGTACCATATGGCACAGGGTACCATATGGTACAGGGTACCATATGGTACAGGGTACCATATGGTACAGGGTACCATACAGTACAGGACACCATATGGTACAGATACAGGGATAACTAACCAAATAACAAAAAAGGCACAATACCGTGACTGGAACGATACACAAATAACCCGCACATAAAAGAGAGAAGCTTGAGACGACGTTTCGGTCCGACTTGGACCATTCACAAAGTCACACAGTGTGACTTTGTCAATGGTCCAAGTCGGACCGAAACGTCGTCGTAAGCTTCTCTCTTTTATGTGTGGGTTATTTGTATACAGGGATAACTATTGAAATAAGTCACCCTGACTTTTTTGGGTTATCCTTAGATTTTATATGTATGCTGCTATGTGTGATAATCTATGTAATTGTTTTTCTGTACACCTGAATAAACTTACTCAAGTGCATGTGGCATCATAAGTAAGTTTATTTAGTTATACACAAATAAAGTTACATAGAATATCATACTTAGCAGCATATGTTTGGAGAACCTAGGATAACCCAAAAAAGTCAGACAGACTTATTTCCATTAGGGTCCCTGTACCCTGTACCATATGGTATAATGTACCATATGGTACAGTGTACTATATGGTACATTGTACCATATGGTACCATTGTACCATATGATACCATTGTATGACATGGCACCATTATACCATATGGTACCATTGTACCATATGGCACAATGGTACCATATGGTTCAAAACCATAGAATTCATCTTCAGCTCCACTTCCATCAGTCTTAGAACTGTAAGTTATGAAGAGGAGAGTCAGAATTCGCCTGGAGAGTGAGTGGGGAGTGAGAGCTTCCTTGCTGCCAGGCACTGTGAACAAAGCTACTTTGCCGGCGTTCCCACAATGCCATGCGGGCGTCCAGATTTTTTCTATGGTGTGCACACTGACCACCCAGACCCATTCTCTCAGATGTAGGCCTACCAGCCTTCTCGTGCTAAATTTGACGCCGCTAGAATTTTGGCGTAGATCTACGGTTTGGACCCTGAACGTAAAGCCGTAGATCTACGGGACGGACCCTGAAAGGGTTAATATGTTGTGTGAGATGAGGTAGGAATAGATGCATCTATGCATTAATTTTTCAAAGAATTTAGAGAGCAGTTGTAAGTGAGATATTGGTCTATAGTTATTCAAGTCAGCTTGGTCACCTCCTTTGTGGATCGGAGTGACCCTCGCTATTTTGAGGATTGTTGGGAAGGTAGCTGATTCAATGGATTTGTTAAAGAGCATTGCAGTAATTGAATAACAATAATTGAATAACTAAACAATGTCCATCTTAAAAGCCTATGTAGTGTAGTGTATGTTTTGCTCCATTATTGTTCAAATTTCATCTCTTAGTAATTAAATAATCAACTACCTCATTATGTGATTTTACTAGT